CATGGGCTCAGGAGTCAGACCCTCCAATCCTGGCTTCTGCTCTGCCAGTTACTAATTGTATAGATGGCTTGACCCAGCTTAGGCAAAAAGGGAATCTAGTGGAAGGATCCTAAGACGTTAAGAATCAGGGATAACTGAAGTCAGGGACTTAAATGCCTCCAGGACACTCTTTTCTCTCTGGATTTTTTTTTTTCTCCCTACATGTTGGCTTTATTCTTTTAGCTCAGTGTTTTCCCCAGAGAGGGGATCATGGCTTCTGGTAGCTCTTGTGTCTTATGGATCATAACTTTACCATTAGAGTAGGCCTGGTCTCTTCCTTCAATTCCAGTGTCAAAAATTCTGGAGAAGAAATCTGATTGGCCTGGCTTGGGTCATGTGTCAGGTCCTAGACCAGTCAACTTTGACAAGGGGAGGGGCAGGAAGGGTCATGTAACAGAGACAAAACCATTCCCAGAGATTAGGAAATTCACTGTGAGCCTGATAGCTAACCTATTTATACAGTTACTTCATCTCTCTGAGCCTCAGTTTTCTAATATGTAAATGAGACTAATAATATGGTCCAATGCCACAATGAGGTATACAGCTCTCACATTTTGACACCTTCACATTGCCCTTAGACTTAGCTAGCAGTAGGGGCTGAAAAATAATAAGATAAATCAGAAAACCTTTAATTTATTAATACAAAGAAATCTGGTGACATGCAATATTTACTTTCACGTATCAAAATATGTAAAGCAGAGACTTTTAAACTTAAATTTATTTCCTAGGCAAGACCTAAATTCTGGAATTCAGTATCTAATTAAACAACACCTTTAAAAATGGTAAATGAGGGACTTCCCTGGTGGTGCAGTGGTTAAGAATCTGCCTGCCAACACAGGGGACACAGGTTCGAGCCCTGGTCCAGGAAGATCCCACATGCTGTGGAGCAACTAAGCCCCTGAGCCACAACTACTGAAGCCCACGTGCTCTAGGACCTGTGCTTTGCAACAAGAGAAGCCACCGCAATGAGAAGCCCACGTACCACAACGAAGAGTAGCCCCCACTTGCCACAACTAGAGAAAGCCCGCGTACAGCAACGAAGATCCAATGCAGCCAAAAATAAATAAATAAATTTATTTTATAAAACGGTAAATGAAACTGTGTGAATAATAAAAGATGCAAACCAATCTAAAGAGTATTATTACAGAACTGACAAAAAGACAAAAAACACTAGTGTAGGCATAAAAGAACATAATTGAACGTGAAATTTTTCTGTTTTACATAAACCAGGTTAAAACTAATAAAGGGAAAGGTAAAATGTAGAAAATTAAATGAATAGCTTTTTAAAATAAGTCAAAAATTCAAAACTATATTAAACAAATACATTAATAATATATATCATTATATATACAACTTTTAACATACAAGAGTGTGTGCAATTAATGTCTGTCTTTTATATTTATACCCAAAGCTGAATGATACCCAAAGATCATGTTCCCATGTGCTGTGGAGGAAGAAAGGTCTCCTTTGAGCTGGGATGATAATAACTTGAGCATCAGACGGCTTTTTGATCACAAACCCAGTTGAAATTTACAGGTAGCTGTGAATGACTAGGTGAGGCAAATGGGGGCAATATGGTTCTTGGAAAGAATTGAAGGGTATAGTTCAAGGCTTAAACCACCCCTGCTCAAATTTTCTTCTGAAAAGCAGCAGAAATTAGAGGCCCCATCATTTGAGACCTGGCCAAATTGCCTTGCTGCCTGTCTCCCCACTTCCCTGTTTCTTGCAGTTCCTACCTACCTCCTGCGGTTGTGATGATGATGATTAAAGTATCTAGCCATGTGCCTATGTAGGTACTCAAAGCATAATGATTCTCTTTTACATACGGCTCAAAAAAAAATCTTTAAAAAAATCATAGGCACATAAAAAGGTTGGCTATAGACATTCATTGTAAGAGCAGGTCACATGGCTCAAATATTGACCACAGTACCCTCTGATTTGTTTAAAATTTGCTGAGAGGATCCCTCAGTGATTTTTAATCTGATCTGAGCAAGCTCAATTTGAAAAATATCTCAGTATTCTAAAGGCTTCTTGGTCTATAAAGAATCAGGCAGGCAAGAGCATGTTTGGATGAAGATTCACATTTCATCCATGAAACTATATAAAATGCTTATATTTTATCTAGTATTACACAGACACATGATATAATTATACTACATGGTATGCCAAAAGCTCAGAATAGCAGAACACTTATTTAAATTATAGTTTAGAATTTCTCAAATCACTACCTTTTCCTAAGAAGTCCATGTCCTCATGACACTGTCAGCCCAATTTAAAAACTAAGCAGGAAATCTAGTTTATCATTTGAATGCGCAGTCTCCATCATACAGCAGAACATCTAGCCATGTGGCTTTGGGCAAACCACTTGATCTCTTCAACTTGAAAAACATTTTCATGCCTACCACGTGCAAGGCTTTGGGATGGACTTCTGTGGGATGACTCAGGCATGCCTTTGAGGAGAAGGGCATGCTGGGTAGGGACTTTCAGTAGAAGTTAAGTACAGAATCTGCAATGGTTCTGGAAGTAGACGGCGTATGAAGGAGGGGGGGCTAGCAAGTGGTTTGGTCTGGTGGAAGCATAGGGGACAGGTAGACGTGCAGGGGGAGCTAAGGTTGTTGGGGAGCTGTTAATTGGATAGAAGGCTCATAAGGAAGGCAGGCGTCGCAGATCTGGAGCCTGGATGACCTGGAGAACAGGATGCCTTTTAAGCAACATTAGGGAAGATGGCAGTGTTAGTTTGGGGAAACCAAAAGAAGGATGCTTTTGGTTTTAAATATACTGAGCTTAGGATCCTACTTGGTTATCCAGCTGGAGCTTCCAATAGGTAACCGAAATAGGGGAGTTGAGTTTGAGAGTTGCAGGGACTGGAGATAGAGATCTGAGAGTTGCCAGAAGTGATAGTTGAACTTGATTGGATCTGTATTCATTAGGACGTGGGTTCCACTGATATAACAGCAACACCCAAATATGGTAGTTTAAACCAGACAGAAGTGTATTTCTTTCTCACGTAATAATTCAGGAGTGGGACCTCCCTGGTGGCGCAGTGGATAAGACTCTACCCTCCCAATGCACAGGGCCCGGGTTCGATCCCTGGTCAGGGAACTAGATCCCACATGCATGCCGCAACTAAGGAGCTGGCGAGCCACAACTAAGACCTGGAGCAACCAAATAAATAAATAAATATTAAAAAAAAAAAAAAAACGAATTCGGGAGTGAGGAGTCTAGGGCTGGAGTGGTGTCTGTGGGAGGTCAGAGACTTAGGATCCTTCTACCCTTTTGCTCTATGAACCCTAGGGTCATGACCTTGTTCATATGGTCCAATATGACTCAACACTATCACATCTGTACTTCCAGCAGGGAAGGGGGAAAAATGGGAAAAAGACAGGACCTGAAAGTACTATAGGAACAGAATTGGGAGAGTTGCCTACTGATTAGTGCTTTCACTGCCATGGCCGGGTTCGATCCCTGGTCCGGTAACTAAGATCCCACAAGCTGCGCGGTGCGGCCAAAAAACAAACAAACAAACTATAGGACCAGAGTCCCAGACTTAGCTAGACATGTGGCCGCCCACAATAAAGGTTACATTACTCATCTGCCTTGTAGATAAGTAGCCAATAAGAGGTGAGCAAAAGACACGTGAGCAACTCCTATATCCACCCTACAACATGCTTTGAATACCGCTATATCCTTGGATAATGAATCAGAGAGTGCACTGTGGTGAAAGCCAAATTAAGGCTAGTCTCCTGAAGGAGGGGTTTCACGATGCTATCCACGTGTCAAGGAGTATGAGAATTGAAGACTTTAGGGCAGTGGCCCTTCAACCAGGGTTGGTTTTGCCCCTCAGGGGACATTTGGCAATCTCTGGAGACATTTTTGGTTGTCACGACGGGGGGCAGAGGATACAATTGGCATCTAGTACGTAGAGGCCAGGAATGCTGCTAAATCACCTATAGTGCATAGGAAAACCCCACCACCGGCAACGAATGATCTCTGCCCAAAAGGTCAGTAGTGCTGAGGTTGAGAAAACTTGCATTAGGGGATTAGGGAAGCGGTTCCCAAACTTTGCTACACATTAGAATCACCCGGAAGCATTAAAAAATCCTGATGCCCAGGTCACACCCAGACCAGTGAACTCAGAATATCGTGGAGTGAAACCCAGACATCAGTATTTTAAAAAGATCCCAGATGATTCCAACGTGCAGCAAAATTTGAGAATCACTGGATTAGGAGGTAACTGGTAACCTCTCTGAGAGGGGAGTTTCAACAACGACTGGCACAGAGTGGGCTCTCAGTACATGTCTGTTGAATGAATGAATACATAAATGAATAACATCATGAGGGTGGAAGCAAATGGTCAGGGGTTGAGGGGATAAGTTGGACAAGGGGGCAGGTGGGAGGAGGGGGAACAGAGAGATTTGAGTACAGTTTACTTTTCGCAGAGCTCTGGTTGTATCAGGAAACAGATAAGGAGAGTAGGTTGAGTGAAAGCAGATAGAGAAAAGATTTCCTTTTTAAAAAAAAATTAATTTTTAAAAAAATTTTTGGCTGTGTTGTGTCTTCATTGCTGTGTGTGGGCTTTCTCTAGTTGCGGTGAGCGGGGGCTACTCTTCATTGCTGTGCGCGGGCTTCTCATTGCGGCAGCTTCTCTTGTGGAGCACGGGCTCTAGGCGTGCAGGTTTCAGTAGTTGTGGCATGAGGGCTCAGTAGTCGTACATTGGGTTAGAGAGAGGAATTTCAGATATTGAGGTCAGGGGAGTAGAACCATTTCAAATAAAGATGGCATCTAATGAATTGATTTGATTACATTATCTCTTAAATCCCTTCTAACTCTAAAACTTCATGAAGGGCTTCCCTGGTGGCGCAGTGGTTGAGAGTCTGCCTGCCGATGCAGGGGACACGGGTTCGTGCCCCGGTCCGGGAAGATCCCACATGCCGCAGAGCGGTTGGGCCCGTGAGCCATGGCCGCTGAGCCTGCGCATCCGGAGCCTGTGCTCCGCAACGGGAGAGGCCACAACAGTGAGAGGCGCACGTACCACAAAAAAAAAAAAAAAAAACTTCATGAGAAGTACAAGTGATTGAAACTGCATTTAAATCCAAATATGCAAGTAGCTGACAGCGTGACCCCAATCAATCCTTGTGAAACGTGAAGTCCCATCAGGTCCAAGTCCATGGGGATAAAACAGGATGGGGATTTCAGCATGTGATCAGTAGGGAGGTTGATCAATCATTATGGGATCTCCATGTCTTGCAAAATTTTTCAGGTAAGTTCTACTCACACCACTATTTGAGAATTAGGGAAGATCAGAGTCTTTCTGGGTCATGTAAAAACAAATACATGCAGGGATTCCCTGGCTGTCCAGTGGTTAGGACTCTGCGCTTCCAATGGGGGGACTTCCCTGGTGGCACAGTGGCTAAGACTCCACGCTACCAATGCAGGGGGAACGGGTTCGATCCTTGGTCTGGGAAACAAGATCCCGCAACCTGAGCAGCGCGGCCAAAAAAAAGCAAATATATGACTAAGAAGAAAGAATATCTTTGCCCCACACAAACCTTTGTGATAAAGGTTTATCCGCACTTCCCTTCTTCCTCTCCCTCAGCCAATTTGCAGCAAAAGAGGGTAAGATGTTGTTGTGTGGAACAAATGATTCTTTTGAAAGGTGAAACCACAGGTTGGTGTTTATGGAGGACAGACCAGGGGCGCTACTGAGAGGCAAAGCGGATGCTTATTAGGATTTCTGATCATTACTGAAGCAGGCAGGGAAGCTGGGGCCCTGAACTCTGTCTCTTTCTTCTTGGCCTTGAAAGCAGGAGCCGGCTTCCTAATTGCCCCATATGCTGGTTTTATTTGGTGGCTCAGCTGGGTGTAGTGAACCCTAGGAAGAGATGCATTCATTTTTAGTTACCTCACCAGATTGCTAATTTTCACTCTGGAGGCATCAATCACCATAATGACTATAATCCCAGGACAGAGAGGCAGCTATTTCGGCACCAGGGCAGCAGCTATTGCTACCACCAAAGCTCCTTTGAGGCTCAGGGCCTGGAGAGCCCAGGGAGAAGTCCCTCATGGCTTGCTCTGCCGGGCACTCTCAGATTTGGGATGGAGGGCATGCTGGGAAGTCATCCTTCTTTTCTTGGGGGAAGAAATGGAGTTTCCAAAGGAGCAGTGTCTTTGGAGTTAGTGGCAAGTGTGCAGATTAACACAGACCTTTGGTCCGGAGCTAACTGGGCAGCTGTTTACATGCCTGACCTGCAAACAGAACACCAGCTCCTCTTTTCTCTGCTCTTTTCCTATCAACATACTTCTTGGTTTGCCTTGTTTTTTGCATCTTTCCTGAGGAAAGCCTCAAGTTACTAAAGAACGACCTCAAGCAGAAACCAGAGGCTACAAAAATACCCTGCTCCCAGAGGTCGGGGCTAAGTATCACTAGAGAAAAAAAAAGCTCAGTGTAACTTGTCACGTTGTCACCTAGACTTGTAATATTGACTTAAATTTTTTCTTTCCCTGTCTTTTTTTTAAAGTTTTAAATCCTGCCATATGCTGATCTCCTAATTGGCTTCCTTGCCTTTTTTTTTTTCCCTCTCTTCTCTTTTTTTTTAAAAAATATTTATTTCTTTATTTGGTTGTGCCAGGTCTTAGTTGTAGCAGGCAGGTTCCTTAGTTGTGGCATGCATGTGGGATCTAGTTCCCTGACCAGGGACCGAACCCAGGCCCCCTGAATTGGTAGCGTGGAGTCTTAGCCACTGTGCCACCAGGGAAATCCCCCCAAAATTTCTTTTTAAAGAAAACCAACCTAAATGAAGTCTACGAAATATCCACTACATCCCGAAGCAGGGTCACTTAAAGACGATTAACTAATAAATAAATATGTGAAAATTTCTTACCTTTTCCACAGACGATGAGGAGGTAGAGATGGGGGAATAAATTCTCTTAACAAGTTCACATCCTAAGGGTGTCTGGGTGTCTGACTTTTTTTTCTTCCCCTGACATTTTAAAGACAGCCCTGAAAGTGAGAGAGAAAAGAGGAAACTTAACTGTGACAAAAAAGGAAAAGTCTGTTAAGAAGGAATTTTTTTTGCCTAATAATATAAAACTTTGGAGAATTTAGAGCTCAAAGCATCCTTTGTTAATGATGGCAGGTTGACGGCCTAAGAGGAGGGGAAATTTTAGGTCAGGGACATTTGGGGTGAAACTGAGGCTGTGCTTGAGCATCGTAAGATAAGGCAGACAAATAAAGGATTGCAACAGGAGGAACGGCCCTCTGAGATGGCCCTGGCCCCATCTGCCCCCTTCCCTCCCCTGAGCTGACCTCAGAGGACCAGAAGCAAGCGTGCTTTGTTTTTTGTCTTCCAATCACCTGCCCTTATGTTTAGGCAGCAGACAGACCAGACTAATAAACACAGCTCTGCCCCCAGTCACGCATATGGTATTAAGAATATTCTAGTTCTTCCTTGATGGCTTTCTACTGCCTTTCTGCCCCCTAATGATCCTTTCTAGAACCTACCACAGTGCCTGTGCACGAAGTAGATGTTCAATACATGTTTGATGAATTGATTCAAATTTGGAGAAGAATTTGGGGGAAAAGAGTAAAAAATGAGGGGTGTTTCACTACTTCACTCTCTCTGGGGTCCTGTCCCTCTCAGCGAGAGCCTCGGATGAAAGGGCTCAGGCCCTTCCTACCAATGACTTTCGGTTGGTTCCCAGAGTCTCCGGTTGGGTCAGGGCCCCAGTGGAGCAGTGAAGTCGGTGCCATTTCTTTCTGAACTCTCCCTGCACTAATAACAATAACAGTTGAGTGGCAGTCACAGGCTTAGAAGCAAATCATTCTGACTTTGCCTTCCAGAGCAGAGCTGTTTCCCCTGAGGTCCCAGCAGAAAAAGTCAGGGCTCTCTTGGTTGCAGCAACACCATTTTTAAAAATTAATTAAATTAAATTAATTAGTAATTAATTTTTGGCTGTATTGGGTCTTCGTTGCTGCGCGCAGGCTTTCTCTAGTTGTGGCGAGTGGGGGCTACTCTTCGTTGTGGTGCGCGGGCTTCTCATTGCAGTGGCTTCTCTCTCTCTTTTTTTTAAACAAATTTATTTATTAATTTTTCAATTTTTGGCTGTTTTGGGTCTTCGTTGCTGCGTGTGGGCTTTCTCTAGTTGGGGCGAGTGGGAGCTACTTTTCATTGCGGTGCGCGGGCTTCTCATCGCGGTGGCTTCTCTTGTTGCAGAGCACAGGCTCTAGGCACATGGGCTTCAGCAGTTGTGGCACGTGGGCTCAGTAGTTGTGGCTCGCAGGCTCTAGAGCGCAGGCTCAGCCATTGCGACGCACAGGCTTAGCTGCTCTGAGGCATGTGGGATCTTCCTGGACCAGGTATCAAACCCGTGTCCCCTGCATTGGCAGGCAGATTCTTAACCACTGTGCCACCAGGGAAGGCCTACCATTTTGTTTTGGTGACAGGAAGTCCTGTGGTTTTTCTCACCAACTTCCCTGAGGATGCCATCTTTCAGCTACACACACGTAGATTATTTCTGCTTTCCATCCATCCAATCTAGGGCTGCCAAGAGGTTCAAGACTTTCTTCTCTGCTTCTTACTTTCCCCCAAGCCCCAAGTTCTTACCCCAATGCCAGAAGCTGGGACCAGTCTCTGGGACAAAACAGAAATAATGTGGGAATTGTGGGTAGGGTTGAACACATACATCAATCTAGGAACAGGCATAAAAGCAAAGCCCTTGTTATTACAGGAGGGCAGTGGGAAATTATTTCTTATCCATCATGGGTGGTGGTAGTGATTAAGCATAAGCTATTTGTTTCAGTCTTTTATTTTATTTATTTATTTATTTATTTTGGCCACACCACATGGCATGTGGGATCTTAGTTCCCCGACCAGGGATGGAACCTGTACCCACTGCAGTGGAAGCTTGGAGTCTTAACCACTGGACCACCAGGGAAGTCCCTCAATATTTTAAATATTGTTTTGTGAAGGTAGATTATTTAATGGGAACTATCAACAGCTGTATTAAAGGGGCCACATGGAGGCTGTCCAAGGAAAGCAATATAATAATAACAGGCAATTTATTACATCTGGTTTAATATTTAAAAACATATCCAAAGGACAATGAGAATGAATTCACTTTTTTTTTTTTGGCTGTGCCGCTCCACTTGTGGGATCCTTGTTCTCCGACCAGGGATTGAACCCAGGCTCTCGGCAGTGAAAGTGCTGAGTCCTAACCACTGGACCACCAGGGAATTCCCAGAATGAATTCACTTTAAAAACTTATTTTAATTTTATTTTTTATTGAGGTATAGTTGATGTACATTATAATATGTTTCAGGTGTACAACATAGTGATTCACAATTTTTAGTGGTTATACTCCATTTATAGTTATAATAAAATATTGGCTATATTTCCTGTGCTCTAAATATATCCTTGTAAGAATGAACTCACTTTTTAAAAAAATTTTTTATTGGAGTATAGTTGATTTACAATGTTGTGTTAGTTTCAGGTGTACAGCAAAGTGATTCAATTATACATATACATATATCTGCTCTTTTTTAGATTCTTTTCCCATATAGGCCATTAAAAAGTATTGAGTAGAGTTCCCTGTGCTATACACTGGGTCCTTATTAGTTATCAATTTTATAGTAGTGTGTATATGTCAATCCCAATCTCCCAATTTATCCCTCCCCGCCATGAACTCACTTTTGAACTGCATTTGGTCCAATGTCTTTCATGGGGAGAGAGAGGAGCATTCCACATGCATCTGTGTTTGGGCTGTCAATTTATCAGTATCTATGCATTTGTTGTTTTCCTCTGGCTTCAAAAAAAAAAAATCCCTTGGTATTACAGAATATATGTGTATTGAATAAAAAAACTTTGACTTCTGAAAACGTGTACTTAATGGCATATGCAAATAAAATGTAGTCAGTTTTGCTGTTAATATTTACTATTGAGATGTGTGTTCAATAATTCCCAAATAATTCAAAGAGTTCTTATGGTACTGCTACCAATACTACATGTTATAGTTCTATAGTGCTTTTTCCCACAGAGCTTTTAAAACAAAACAAACTCCACGTTTTTTTCCCCATCCAGTTAAATATTGGAAGAAAGCAGAGCATTAATTTATATATATTTTGAAAGGCAAAGAAGCACAAAGAAAAGAATTCAATGGAATAAGCCCCAGGTATCGTAACTCCAGGCTGGCAAGTTGAGCTCACTGAATCAAGGGCAGGATTTTCCATCCCATTCATGGGGGAAAGGAGGAAGAGAAAGGGGGAGTGGGAGGAATGCAGAGGGTACAGTACTAATTCCTTAGGAACGTGGAAACATGGAGCTCTTGGAAGCAGTGAGAGCTACTGCTCTGGGGTTTTCTCCCTCTGCTATTCTTTAGTCCACGGTGAGATGTTGGAGGAACAGAGTTCAAAGGTGCAGCAGTGTAATGTAGCCTGAAGCCAGAAGCAAAAGGGTCTGATTTCATCCCTTTTGATCAGACAGACACTCACTTGGGGGTGCCTCTGTTTCCTCATTCATCACGCAGAGCAGTGTAGTGTGGGAAAATCCTCACGTCTGTCACATAGGAAAAGGGGGCCTGAAGCAGAAGCTGGGAGACCTGAGCTTATCGACTTTGGGTTCACAGCACAGCTGATATTTGGGGGAACAAGTTCTGAGAGGACTGAGGGTATGAGCATCCGGAAAATCGGGGGTTGAGAAGTGGTTTTCACAAGAGCTGAGCCAGGTGGCTCTCTGGGGTCTCAGACTGAGGAGATCTACGCTTGACAGACTTTACGGTGACCATTGTCTCAGCTTTGGGATTATAGCAACTGCCATTTGTAGTGTGTTTACTACGAGTCAGGCTCCTTGTACAGTTATCTCATTTGATCATCACCTAAACCTAGTTAGAGCAACATCATCCCAGTTTACAGATGAGAAAACTAAGCCCCAAGAGATTAATTGGCCCAAGGTCACTCACCTAGATAGTGGAAGTATCAGTTTCTTCGTCTGTAAAATGAGTTAATGACAGAACTAGACTCCATCGCCTGCTGGTTTGTTACAGAATCGCTTGAGATAGTCATGACCCAAGCGGAAGCAAAGCCCCAGGAATATAGGGATCGGCTGTAAAGCGAATCTTGCCTTTTCCATATTTGAATTCGGGTACCTTTTTCAAGGCTTCTAAAGCGCGGTTCGTTGGGGTGGAGGGGAGTTCGATGGGGGGGGAGGTCGCGACCGCCTTTCCCCAGATCCCCTTGCGCAGGCCCCGGTCGCCCTCTGCCGACGTAGGGCGGAAGCGCGTGGAGAATGAACGTTTCCGAGCCTGAGAGCGGGCCAAGAACCTCGTTGGCCTGTAGAGGGCGCCTCCCTGTGTGCAGAGTAATCCACTCAGCCGTCCCTTCCTTAAGCACTTCCTGTGTGATCTCTATGGTCCATCCGATAACGCCAAGAGAAGCTCCTGGAGATACCAATTTACCGTAAACAAAAATCGAAGTGCGCTGACCCGGAAGAGGAAGCTGGAGCGGGGCGGGAGTAACCCGGAAGGCCGGCAGTGAGGGGGCCCGGCGGGTACAGTAGCTCCGAAGGCTGGCAGTGAGGGGCGCGGGGCAAATCGTAGCCATGGCGGTGGCCGTGGCTACGGCGGCAGCCGTACCCGGAACAGAGCTGGGCCCCGCGGAAGAACTAGCCAAACTCGAGTATCTGTCTTTAGTGTCGAAGGTTTGCACTGAGCTGGACAATCACTTGGGGATCAACGACAAGGATCTGGGTGAGTCCGCGGAGGTCTCTGCGCCATCTGGGTTTGGGCTTGAGGGAAGGGGAAGGAGAAAGGGGATTGATGGACCGAGTGTGTGGGTCCGTGTGAGTCTATCTCTTTGTCAGAGACTTGGCCCAGGCAACCTGCGGCAGTGGCCTCCTCTTGAGAGCCCTCCGGGCCGAGCTGTTAGAAACCATTTCCCAGAGCTGTCGGTGAAACCTGGAGCGGCCATCGCTTTGGTTTTTTTTTTTCAGCCACAGACAATTAAACAGCGTTAACAACAACAGCGTAGAGCCACATAATGATGATGATGAAGATGTTCATGGCAGACACTTATTGGGTTCTCATTACATGCCAGATATTATGCTCAGTGTTTTACTTACATTATCTTATTTGGTTTTCATACCACTCTGTGAGATAGTATCTGTTTATAGTTTAAGAAAACAAGGCTCCAAGTAATTAAGTAACACCCCTCAAGATCACATATCAAATGTGAGCGAGCCTGGTCTGAATCCAGGTCTTTTGTAGTCTGTGGCTTTAACTGTGCTCTTAACCATTCATGCTTATACTATCTCTCAAGCACCAATGTCTAGTGTCTGTCAAACATTAGACGTCTTGGGACAAACTGTATACAGGGAGAACCCAAACTGAGAAAATGGAAAAGACTGGGGTCCTACAGCTTAAGGCCACAGGCAGTTGGAGTCCTTATGAAAGCAGAGGGATGGATGGGGTCGAGAGCATGAGTGGAGGGATTTTTTGACAGGTACAGGGATGCTTCATCCATTTTAAAAGGAAGGAGGACAGAATATGGTTGTAGATGCAGATGGATTTAGGGACTGGTGGTAGGGCGATGAGGGAGAGAGTTCCAATGTGACTGTTCTGTTTTCTAAATGAAGATGAAGTCATCAGTTGGAGGGATGGAAGGGAAGGGACACATGCATGACAAAGAGGCGTCAGGGAAGTTAGATATGTGATCTTGGGTAAGATGTAATTTCTGTGAAGCTGTGTTTCTCATCTGTGAAATAGGTATGATACTGTGTTCTTCACAGGGTTAGTATATAACACCTGTATATTTTAGTTCACTTTTCTCTTGCCTTCTATCAAGATGTACCTATCCTGTGTCATTTTTCCTCAGTCTTCTCTTTTAGATAATAATGAGGTGATATTCTCGTCAGTTTGCTATCTCTCTGGGTAATATGTTCCTTCATTCAGCAAACCTTTGTTGAGCTAGGGGCTTAGGAATACAGTAGAGAACAAGGTAGATTCCCTCGGTCAGTGCACTTACATTGTTTCTCTTTCTCTCTCTTTTGAACTACAGTGTACTAATGCCTTAGCCTCTTTTAGAGGAAACAAAAAGTTATTGAGACCAAAACTGCCTCGCCCCCACCTTCGAGGGCCACTTGCAAGTCCAAGTTGTCAGGTGCAATAGATCTGAGGTTCCACCAACCCCCTCCTTAGGTTTGATTAATTTACTGGAGTGGCTCACAGAACTCAGAGAAACGTTTTACTAACTGGTTTGTTATATTTATTTATTCATTTATGGCTGCGTTGGGTCTTTTGTTGCTGCTCCTGGGCTTTCTCTAGTTGTGGCGAGTGGGGGCTGCTCTTGGTTGTGGTGCGCGGGCTTCTCACTGCGGTGGCTTCTCTTGTTGTAGAGCATGGGCTCTAGGCGTGCGGGCTTCAGTAGTTGTGGCACAAGGGCTCAGTAGTTGTGGCTCGCAGGCTTCAGAGTGCAGGCTCAGTAGTTGTGGCGCACGGGTTTAGTTGTTCCACAATATGTGGGATCTTCCCAGGCCAGGGATCGAAGCTGTGTCCCCTGCATTGGCAGGCAGATTCTTATCCACTGTACCACCAGGGAAGTCCCTAACTGGTTTGTTATAAAAAGATATAACTCAGGAACAGCTAAATAGAAGGTCTGTGGCAAGGAGAGAGGAGCTTCCATGCTCTCTGAGTGCCCCACACTCCCCGAATCTCCATGTTGTTCACCATCCTGGAAGCTGTCCAAACCCTGTCCTTTTGGGTGTTTATAGAGGCCTCACTGTATAGGCACAGTTGATTAAATCATTGGCCATTGATGACTGAACTCAATCTCCAGCCCCTCTCCCCTCCCCAGAGATCAGGTTGGGGCTGAAAGTTCCAGCCCTCTAATCTCCTGATTGGTTTCCCTGGCAACTAGCCCTCATCCTAGTTACCTAGGGGCTTTCCTAAGGTTATCTCAGGAACATAAAAAAAAGATAACTTACTCTCTGCACTTAGGAAATTCCAAGGGTTTTAGGAGCTCCGTGCCAGGAATGGAGACCAAATATGTATTTCTTCTTATAAATCACAGTATCACACTGTTAAACACAGAATTACAAAAACAGTAACATTAAAAATACTAATATTGGAAAAGTGTGATAAACAATATTGTTTTGATGAAACTAAATTGCCAGAGTTGGTTTTAATAACAAAAAGGTATATATTTACTTCTTTTGTGTTTTATTTGTTGACTTGATTCTTTTGATTTTGACCTTGATGTATTATCATTTAAATCAGTCTCATTGTTTTTCCTGTTTTCAACAATGAGCTTGTTTTTAATTACTGATCCAGTTTTTGGTACTTCAGTTAATTTAATGATGTCCTCATATAATTCTGAAAATTAAAAAACAAAATCCTCATTAATGACGGCTGCAGTATGAATATGCTGCTGGCTGCTTTAGGCTTGGCTCTTTTGAGCATTGTATGACTAGCACCATGTGACTTAGTTCTCCCTCCACATTTCTCTAAAGAATTTGTGCTCTGAAATCAGATTTCTGGATTCCAGTCCTGGCTCCACCAATTATTGGGTAATTCACTGTCTCGAACCCTCAGCCTCCTCATCTGTAAAACAGGAACAATAATGGTACCTACCTATGAGGGTCGTTGTGAGAACCATGGGGATAACCCATGTGAAACACTTAGCGTAGTGCCTGGCATGTAGTAGATGTTTGAAAAGTCTTAACCACTGATGTTGTTATTAACTTGTTACTTAAAAAAAGCTGATGGCATCTGGCTTTCACTTAATGTCATAAAAAAGGTAAAGGCAAATTTCAGCATGGAAATGGTATGGTGTTACTAGTTTATAAGTTAGCTATCCAGATATTCCATGTTATTATTATTTTTTAAGGATTAACATCCAAATGAAGGGAATTTGCTGGCGGTCCAGTGGTTAGGACTCCATGCTTTCACTGCAGAGGATACGGGTTCAATCCCTGGTCGGGGAACTAAGATCCCGTAAGCGGAGTGGTGCGGCAAAAAAAAAGAAATCCAAATGAAATCATTAAAATTTTCATGTGGAACTTACAGTGTGAGGCTTATTATCTCAGCCTATCATAATGCACTTTTCTCCTGAAAGTCTTGTAATTAATAAATAGTTCTAGGGCTTTCCTGGTGGTGCAGTCCCGGATGCAGGGGACACGGGTTCGTGCCCCGGTCCGGGAAGATCCCACATGCCGCGGAGTGGCTGGGCTCGTGAGCCATGGCTGCTGAGCCTGCGCGTCCGGAGCCTGTGCTTCGCAACGGGAGAGGCCACAACAGCGAGAGGCCTGCGTACCGCAAATAAAATAAATAAATAAATAGTTCTAATATTAGAAATTTCAAAACGAAGCCGGTTTGTAGACCAAAATCTGTGGGAGAGGGGCAAGTGAGTCTTTCACCGACTCTGATGTTGTACCATCCAGCAGCTGCCTGGCCCTCATATATAGATCAGGTGTGTCCTTTCAGAAACTGTAGAAAGCATCCTATTTGTGCATGTGTCCATGTGTGCGTGCATGTACACATGCACATGGGCTCATGCTCTTGGACGTGGTTGCCTCTAGAATCTATATGGTGGAGTACATATCTAGCAGTTTCATGAAGAGAGTACAGTGATCTGGGACAAGGAGGTCTTCCTCCCTTAAATACACTCAAGGGCCTGATGAGCCATTTCTTGTTTTTACTTATGAAAATTAACTAGACTATACATGGCTAATCTTGGTAGTCTAAATTCTTTCTTTACCCTTACTGAATGGTGGTCGTCGGTTTTTATGACTGTTGGATAACCCAACTGGTTTTATTTATTTGTTTATTTATTTATTTTTTGCCGTACGCGGGCCTCCCACCACTGTGGCCTCTCCCGCAACGGAGCACAGGCTCCGAACACGCAGGCCCAGTGGCTGTGGCCCACAGGCCCAGCCGCTCCGCGGCACGCGGGATCCTCCCGGACCGGGGCTCGAACCCGCGTCCCCTGCATCAGCAGGCGGACCCCCAACCACGGCGCCACCAGGGAAGCCCTGGTTTTATTTTTAACATACTTGAAACTGATTTCTTGCTCAAGTCTCCATTCTTCTTGTTGTAATCCCTTTTCTCATTTGCAGCTGAATTTGTGATCAGTCTTGCTGAGAAAAATACCACCTTTGATACTTTTAAGGCTTCACTGGTCAAAAATGGTGCAGAATTCACGGTATGTGTATGCAGAGAACCCTCTTTTGTTTCAATGTCAC